GAAGGAGCTCTAGCACTCTTGTTGTTGATATAGAAGCTTTTGTAGGATGAGTGTTTGCAACTTGTTTGTCGGCTTGACATGCACTACAAAGCTTGTCCTTCTCAAATTTCACATCCTTCAACCCTCTCACCAATTCATTCTTCATAAGCTTCTTGAGTGAGCTCATCCCAACATAAGCAAGTCTTCTATGCCATAACCACCCAAGAGATGTTTTGGTGAATAGGTATATCTTCAAGTTAGCATCTTCGGAGGTGAAATCCACTAAATATAGGTTGCTATATCTAAATCCCTTGAATATAACTTGATCATCATCCTTCTTAGATACAACCAATTCTTTCTCGGTAAACAAGCATTGGAAGCCAAGATCACACAATTATCCAACGGATAGCAAGTTGAAACTCAATGAAGCAATATATAGCATATTTGAGATTGAATGATCATTTGATATTGTCACTTTGGCCAATCCTTTGACTTTTCCCTTTGAGTTGTCACCAAATATAATTCTTTCTTGACCATCTACTTCTTCATCTAGTGAGGTGAACATATGAGGATCATCGGTCATATGTTGAGTGCAACCACTATCAATTACCCAATGACTTCCACCGGTCTTGTAGTTCACCTACACACAAGAGATCAAGCTTGTTTAGGGATCCAAACTTGTTGAGGGCCCTTGACTTTCTCAACAAGTGACTTTGCAACCCAAATTTTCTTAGGCCTATTCTTGTTGGGAGGTCCTAAGAACATAACTTTTATTTTTCCATTAGAGTCCTTTCTAAGCATGTAATGAGCATTGAAAACAAATGGTCTATCATGCTTGGGCAAGGGTTGTGGTGGTAGAGTTTGACACTCATGGGCAAAGTGACCTTCTTGTCCACACTCAAAATGCCTCTTTGGCTTTGGCTTTGACTTGTGTTGTTATTGTTGAGCTTGAGCCTTCTTTTCTTGATTTGCCAAATACCCAATTCCACTTCTATCCATCTCCATGACGGTGTTCATTAGTAGCTCACTTTGAAGATGTTGACCTCCTGTAAACTTGCTCAAGCCGGTTTTGAGATGTTCTTTTTCTAACGTGAGCTTCTTGTTCTCCTCTTTGAGTTCATCATGATTTTTCTCCTTTAGTCTCTTGTTCTCTTCTTTGAGCATCTCATTCTCAAGAGCTAGATCACTATCATGGTCAAGGTTCTCTATCACAATGGTGTTGGTGGTTGATAGCTTTTTAAGATCTTTCTTAAGCTTCTCATTCTCATTCTTGATCTTGACATATTTATCATAGTTATTGGACTCAACCACTTGCTTGCCTTTGCTACTAGAACCTTGCTCAATACTCTCAATAATCAAATCATCACATGATGTAGCTATATCAATCTTAACAACATCATTAGTAGCATCATGTGGCTCATTGGATAAAAACTCATGAGAGATAACAAGATTATCATGATTGATCTTGAAATTTGTATATTCATATTTTAGCATATTGTAGCTAGTGATGAGCTTATTATGCATCCCCTCAAGTTTATCATATTTTTCTTTAAGCTCCTTCTTAGAAGATTTGAGCTTCTTGAGTTTGGATGATATAGCATCAATTGCTTCTCTAAGTTCAACACTAGCCTTTTCCGCTATGTCATATTTAGCTAAAAGAGAGACATTCTTAAATTCTAGCTTTTTATTCTTAGCTCTTGACTTTCTAATGATCTTAGTGTATTGATTTAGCAATTTAACAAGATCATAATATGAAGGTGATTCAAATTCATCATCATCACTATCACTATCATCATTGCTAGCATGTTCATCACCACTGCTTTCATCATCATTTGCTACCTTTCGTTCACCTTTGACCATAAGGCATAGGTGTGTAGAGGATGATGACGGTGGTGTTGGTGAAGATGATGAAGAGTCAATCACAATAGTGGCCACCTTCTCATTCTCACTATCATCATCGGATGAGTAACTTGATGAATCAATATCTGTGAGCCAATCACCGACGATGTATGCCTTGTCATTCTTCTTCTTCTTGTGGAAATCCTTCTTCTTGCTATCCTTCTTCTTGTATGGCTTGTTTTTCTTCTTCTCATCTTCATCTTCATTACTTGAGTCATCTTTCTTGCCCTTGTACTTCTTCTTGTATTTTTCTTTCTTTGGCTTGGGACATTGATGAGCTAGATGACCAAGTTCTCTACAATTATAGCAATCCATCCCGAAGATTGGCTTCCTTCTATTACTAGTGAAGAACTTCTTTTTCTTGCCATCAAACTTGACACCATTCTTATTGAGCTTCTTTAGCATCTTAGCGGTTCTTCTCACCATGAGAGCAAGACTTGCATCATCAATTTTATCATCACTTGAACTCTCATACTCAACTCTTGCTTTGTCCTTCTCTTAGTTAGCCTTGAATGCTAAGTCTTTGTCTTTCTTCTCGGTAGAAGAAGAGCCATCTTGTGGTGTGATGTGCATATACATCTCATGAGCGTTGATCTTTCCCAAGATTTGAGTTGCCGTAGCGGTGGAAAGATCACCTTGATGAAGCACGGTCACAATGTGTCCATATTTGTCAATGGGGAGGACACTTAAGATCTTTCTTACAACATCGGATGGTTACATTTGTGTAAGTCCAAGCCCATTGACTTCCTTTACAAGAACATTTAAGCGTGAGTACATTTCATTTGCACTTTCTTTAGGAATCATCTCGAAAGAATTAAGCTTTCTCATGACAAGATGATAGCGTTCCTCACGCTCGCTCTTTGTTTTCTCATGGAGCGCACAAATGTCCGATCATAGTGCATGGACGTCCTTGTGGTTCCGCACATGGTTAAACACATCTTTTCAAAGGTCTCTAAAGATGATGTTTCTAGCCTTTGTATTCCTTTTCTCATAATTGAACTCATCGCCTTGAAGGTGTGTGGGATCCCAATGTTTTGGGAAACCTTGAGAGGCGGCTCTAAGAATTCCAACATCTAGACCTTCTAAGTAAGCCTCCATGTGGATTTTCCAATAAGGAAAATCATCTCCTTCAAAGACAGGAGGAGGTCCATCCCCATGGGACATCTTTCTCTAGGCGGTTAAGCCTAAATACGTGAGCACGAGGCTCTGATACCAATTGAAATGATCAAAAAGCCCAAGAGGAGGGTGAATTGGGATAATTCTAAAATTCTTTGCAATAATTAAACCCTACGCTTATCCCACTTCACTTCTTGTGCCTAGAATGTGTTCCTATTGATCTACCGTACAAAAGTTTTGCATTCTAGGTTCCAATTCTACTCTAGCATGGAAATTCTAAGAATGTAAAGACAAGAATTGAATTGCTCAAATGTAAATGCTTAAAGTAAAGAGAGGAGAAGGAACACGGTGATGTTTTACCGAGGTATCAGAAAGTCGCCACTCCCCACTAGTCCTCGTTGGAGCACCCGCGCAAGGGTGTAGCTCACCCTTGATCCGCACAAGGATCAAGTGCTCTCTACGGGCTGATTCTTTGACACTCCATCGCGGTGAATCACCCACGACCGCTCACAACTTGAGTTGGGTCATCCAAAAGCTTCGCCGGATGATCACCAAACTCCCGATCACCACCAAGCCGTCTAGGTGATGGCGATCACCAAGAGTAACAAGCATGAACTCTCACTTGACCACAACAAGCCTAATGAGAAGGGTGGATGCACACTTGCTACTCTCCTTGCACTAATGAGGCCTTAATCTTGGATTCTTAAATCTCAATCACCTCACTAGGCTCTTGCTCTCCTAAGCACTCTCAAGGGTGTTTCTCAGCTGTTCAAATGGGCAAGAGACTTTTCTTGGATGAATAGAGGAAGTATTTATACCCCCTTATTCAAAATGAACCGTTAGGAGGTTGCGTCAGCACTCTGCGGGTGACCGGATGCTTCGGTCAGTTATCCCCGCCATGGAGTCGTTAAGTTGTGACCAGACTCTGACCTACGTCTGGTCATCACTGACCGGACGCGTCCGGTCACAAAAACTACTCTCTGGAACCTTACTGATGTTGACCGGACGCTGGAACCTAGAGTCCGGTCACTTTGTTGTTCAGCGTCCGGTCAGTAACCGAAACCTGACCAGCGTCCGGTCAGCACTGACCGGACGCGTCCAATCAGGAAATTCCCTCTCTAGAACCTCTCTGGAGTTGACCGGACTCTGGCACCCAGCGTCTGGTCACTTTTCACTCAGCGTCCGGTCACATCCAGACGGCTTCTGCTTGATCAAATGAATTGACTGGACTCTGCTGCCAGCGTCCGGTCATAATCGGATCAGCGTCCGGTCAACATTTGAGCCTCCATTCACTTCCAACTCGAAATCATATGTGAATAAAGTTTGCTCCAATTGATCTTAGGGCTACTCTGAAGCTACCTAGTGCTAGATTTGATAAGTGTGCACCACAACTAACCCACTAGACTCACCTAGGTCAAGCTACTAGTCCATACCCTCTTAATTGTACGGCCAAAGGAAAAACAAAGTCCTAAACTACTCTAAGTGTCTCTTCAACACCAAACGACATTTAGAACTAGTCCATCCTTAACCTTGTCGTCTATCCTTTGAAAACCAAAATGATTTCCATCGTAGGGGCATGACAACCATGATTGTCCAATCAATTGCCATTACCATGACCTAACTTAATTGCCTCTGCAAAACACACGTTAGTTATAGTAATCTCGTATTGTCATTAATCACTGAAACCTAACTAGAGGCCTAGATGCTTTTACTGGTGTCATTGAAATTGCCTCTAGTCTCTGCCATAATGCTGCATGAGGATCAGTAAATTGTGGCATTGGGGGAGGGGCAGTGGCAGCAAGTGTTTCTCGAAGTGACTTCATTGTAGCACTAATTTCATCAGTGGAATTTGCAAAATAACTCTTTTTTGGCTTCTTAGTTGGTGAGTTATTGGCTTTTGGACACTTCTTGCTAGCTTGACTAGTGCTGGAAGATGTGTTGTCAACCGTTGCATGCCTAGTTGGAGTTGGCAAAGTGTTTGAAGCCTCACCTTCTAGATCTTGAGGCTATGTGTAGGTATTGAGGTCAAATAGTTCTCTTGAGTCATCACTATCTGAGCCATCAACAACATCCATGCATGTGTTCTGGTCCAGAGCCAAAGAACCATCAGCATTGGATCCTATGAATAGTTCTCTCATCTCATTGAAGAACTTGGTGGGCTTCGCACTACATTCATATGAAACGTGAAATTCAGTTTATATTCATGCGAACAAGTGAATTGATTTCAGATTGTAAAATAGAATATATTCGGTACAAACAATTTACACATAATTTTTCTTTTTTAGATTCTAAAATATTCACCATGCATCTTTTTTCATCAAATGTATTGCCACTATTGCTCAATGTTGTTGCAATGTACTTCCAATTTTCTCTATGGTATCTATAGTGACGGTCCACTTGATCAACAGTCACCCCCATAGCAAACTTCTTGTTTAAATCATTGGCACACAACATGAGATGTGTCTTCTTGAACTTAAATCCTGCATGTTGTTTTTTCAAATACTCCATGCACCACTCTAGCATGTACTTCGACCGATCCTCATGCCAGTTCACGGACCTCTCACGAGAGGATGCAAAAGCATCAGCTTTAGCCTTTCCCTTGGCCATGGTTGTTTCACATACAAGAGATAATTAAAACCTTACAAGTGACTGTACTAGTACTCCCTTCCAAACAGCAGCCTACAAGTGACACTACTAGTAAAGAGACATTTAATTAAAATCATACAGTGTACAGGTACAAAATATTTAAGCAAACTATGTATAGGTATAATTTATTTACAGCATGGCTGTGACAAATAAATGACAGTGACAATTTATTTAAACAAAACTGTGTACAGGCACAATTTATTTAAGCAAACTCATAAAGATAATAGAAGCAAATACATAAGCAAATGAACCAGTGAAAATAATAGAAAGCATCACACTTATATATGTATGTTTCATACATACAAGCAAATCAACAAGAAGGGTACAAGAAGAAATATGCAAAGATAGCAGCATTGGTTACATAATTTCTTGAACCTAATCTACAGCTGCTCCTACTTTATCTTCCCACATCCTTTGAGCCATCCCATCTCTTTTATTAGCCCATGCCACATTTTCCCGGTGTATATCACTATGATTTCTTACACTTCGAGGCAAGGTTGTGTACAAAGTAGCATCATCATAAACATACTCATCAGGACCGTCTTGTAAGACCAATTATGAAGTGCACAACAAGCCATCACAATTTTGAATTGTGTTTTCAAAGGGAAGAATGGCTGACTTGCAAAGATTTTGAAACGATTCTTGAGGGTACCAAATGCTCATTCAACAATTGTTCTAAGTGAGGAATGGCGAAGATTGAATAATTTCTTGGGGCTCTCAGGCTCCCTAGCCCCCTTATACTCTTTTAGGTGATATCGGGGACCACGGTAGGGGGTAATACACCAGGCCTTGCTGCATATCCAGCATTAGCTAGGAAATATTTGCCTACATCATTGTTTTTTTACAAATTAATTAGCTAAGAATATAGGTGAAGTTTTATATTCAAATTGTTAGGACATAATGGGGTATTCCTACCTCCTGGTATTTTAAGCCCATTAGGACGTGATAGAGCATCTTGAAGCACATAAGAATCATGGGCTGAGCCCTCCTATCCAGCAAGAACATATATGAATCTTATGTCAAAATCAACTGTTGTTAGCACATTTTGGGTGGTAATTGATTTTCTACCCCTAAACCGATCACGCATATGGAAAGGTACACATGCTGGTATATGTGTACCATCCAAGGCTCCTATGCATCGCTATGAAAATAATTTTTAAAAAAAATTAGATGAGTATGACACCTAAAGTAAATTCGAAACATTGATTAGCAATTTTTATGTACCTCAAAGTAATGGTGAAATCTGCCCGGAGCACTTGTTATCTTTGAATGTGTGTCAACAGATCTGATGCATATGAGGTCACGAGCAAGGGTACAAAGGGCATCTAAGACATGATGGAAATACCTACTAACAGTTTCACTTGACCTAATAAACTCAAAACCAATTGATCTGTTTGACCAACATTGCCCAACACAATGGATAAACATGGCAACTTGTTCCTCTATTGTGACATGAAAAGTCTCCTCTAGCAAGGCACGTGATCTAAGTTCATCACATAGTCTATGGAAGATAGCTTTCCTCATACGCAGCTCATTTATGCAATGGGCATCAATACCATGATACAAACACGATTTAGACGTGACAATCTTTCAACATCTCTATCTATCATCGGAGCATAAGTTATGGCCCTTCTTCTTTTTCTTGATTTAATCCTATACAGATGCATGGCCAGACACACAAGAATACCAGTAATTAATCTTCTCCTCCACATATAATGGCAGTAGTCCAAGTAATACTGCAAGTACAATTTTCTTTGACCCCATCTAAAACATGTGTTCAGAAAAAGATGAAATTAGTAATAAACTAGAAATAGTGAAGCGTCTAGTTGAAATAGCTTTGAAAGATCAAAGTCATGAGCTCATTTTGTCAAGAAAAAAGAATCATCTAGCACCACATGCCAAGTCTCAAGGTGCTGCATATATTATCTAACACAATAACTCATCTTGCCTAGACTAAAGAAAGAAAGAGCTGTGACTTCTCCATATATATTAAACAAAGGAAACCTAACTAGCAAGACGGTAGATGGATTCACCGGATCTCAGCATGAATTTATTTCTCCATCAGAAAATCAATGGCAAAGGGGGAAAATGGATCTATACCTTGTTTGGTTGCAGGAGGTTGCCGTGCTTGAATCTTCTTTAGCTGCAGGGATTGATTGCCGCGCGTAACCCAACACCACAGGATGGATGGACCTTCACCTGGTTTACTGTTTTGTTCCAGATCTGCACACATGGAGGAAAACCAGAGGTCAACAGACATGACGACGGGAAGGAGAAAAGCAATACGACTGAGGTGGGAGAAGATGAGAAGGTGGACATCACCTGCATGGAAGGAGAGACATGCCGTGCTCACTGAGAACGACGACGCGAGGGGGAAGAAGGCAGCAGAGAGGCGAGATGGGCGTGACCAGTGGCGGAGCTTTTCAATTTTGACGCCTAGGGCCGCCGCTATCAAAGCGTATATAGCGCTCAGCGTTCACATCGGGTAAAAATACCGCCCTCACCGGGTCTAATACCGATAGATAACAAAACTAGCTTATAAATACATAAGTTTAGATTATATCTTAATTCCATACTAAAATCCATAACATAATTGATAGAAACATGAAAGTGGTTACAGAATTACCTAACTACTAATGGTTTGGATCGGCCTCGCCTATCATATATTCATCAAGAGCATCATATGAACCTGAACATACATACAAATTAGTAATGTAATCCATAAAATACAATTGATCATTCGACAATGACAAGGAAGGTAGAAAAATATCAATGCAAGTATGCAACGTACCACTTGCTCTAGTTTGAGGTAATGGAGGTAACTTTTTCATCCGAGTCTTCAGTTCTTGAAAGTGATATAAAATATATTCATCTTTGATCTTTGCAAAGACATCTCGCTCAATATAACAAATCATCCTATGATTCAACCATTCACCCCCCATCTTACTCCTCAACTCATTCTTGACAAATTTCATAGCTGAAAAGGCTCTCTCAACCGTGGCGGTCGCAACTGGCAAAGTCAAGGCTAAGACAATGAGACGATAAACCAATTGAAAAACTATGTGTCTCTCAGATTGAACCATCTTAATAGCAAGATCTCTAAGGTTGTGACAATTAGCAAAATTAGAATCATTTCTCACTTCACCAATGAATATGTCAATTTGTTCTCTAAGGCATAAAAGGTCATATGAGGAGAAAGTCATCTTTATAAATCTGAGCCAGCTCTAGTATTTTGGATCTGTCATAGTTGGCAAAAGAATTCCTTGGATCTAGACAAGTAATGCATCTCAATAGTTGAGTAGACCTTTCAGCAAAGCAATTATTCATTTCCACAATAATCTGGTCATGCACCACATTAAATATTTCATACTTGAAATGGTGATAGTGAGTCACTAATTGCCCTCCTTGTCCCCTTGCGCGACCCCTAACAGTTAATGTGTCCTCCATATTTGGTACAATGATATTATGTAAGAGACAAAAGGCCTTTACCTCCTCAAATAGTTCTTCCCAACCATGCTCTCGTACCTCACTAACTTGTTCCAATGTTGTCCCAATCAATCCTACAGCAAGAACAATGTTCTGATCTTTCTTTTGCAAGCATAGAGACAAATCATTAGTTTCCCAACAAGCGGATCATGAGATGCAAAACAAGCACAAATTCAAAGTTCTCCATTTGTTTCAACAAACCTGAAGCCACATATCTCTTGTCCCCATTAGTGGTATCCTCAGCCAAATTCTCTAGTACCTCTAGAATAGAATCCCACATGAGAAGAATTCGGCACAAGGTTTTATGATGCGAACCCCATCAAGTATCCCCTGGTCGTGCAAGGTTGGTTTCTTGGTGTTTTCCTCTCCCTGAAAAAATCTCACCCCTCTCCAATTGGTTCACAAGATGCTCATGGTGTTGTTGGGACATTTGATCCCTTCTCTTACAAGAAGCATTGACATTGTTAACAATCAAAGTGGAGGTGTTAAAGAATTCAAAGACAGAAGAGCAACACTTGGCAACAGAAACAACCACTAATTGCAATTGGTGTGCAAAGCAATGTATGTAAAAAGCATATGGGTTTTCATCTAATATCCGTCTTTGCAACTCATGAAATTCTCCCCTCATGTTTGATGCCACATCATACCCTTGTCCACGCAATCTAGACATTGACAATCCATGGGATGCAAACATACCATCCAAAGTATTCTTTAGAGACAATGATGAGGTGTCAGGAACTTCTTCAATGCCAAGAAATCTCTCAATCACTTCACCTCGTGCATTGACATACCTACATCAGCCATGAAAAGCAGCAAGGATGACATTACAGTTTAAAAACAACAAGGATGGCATTATAGTTTAAATAATTATAGCAAGCTAAATAATTATAGCAACCTCAAAACGACGGCCATTTGCTCCTTAATAGATGCATCTCGAGCCTCATCGACAAGAATGGCAAAGGGTATATCCCCAAGATCTGCTAGAATGGCTTTGGTGGTCAGCTCTGCACAAGCTCTACATATGTCCTTCTGAATTTCTGGTGAAGTCATTTGATTGTGACGGAGCAAATTTGCCGCATTTTTATCCTTAGCTTTGTACCATTCTACCATCTCTAAGAAGTTCCCCTTATTGCCTGAGCTAGAGGATTCATCATGTCCACGAAAAGCATGTGCTTGCAATAAAAGGAACCTTATCACTCCTAATATAATGAGCATCCGCCCTTTATATTCCTCCTCCGACTTCTTACCACCACGGTTCATCACATGTGCCACACTTTGCCTTTGATTTTTAAAGTCCTCATAAGCCCTTCTAGACTTATTGTGATCTATACCATTAGAATGGGCATCAATCAAATCACGCCCATCCTTCCATCCACGAAATCCATTAACCGTGAAAGCATCAACACCATAATTTTCAGCTCTAGGTTGTTTAAAGAGATAACAATACAAACAAAATGCGGCGTCTTTGACAAAAC